CCTTGTCACTGCCTTTGTGCAGCTAGTATCTGGGTGCCTCCCAAACCCACAACATATTTTAGTGAAAACCATAGAGCACAATTCTTATAATTTCATTTGCATTGCTGCTACAGATGTTTAGATAGAACAATGTCTGTCAGCAGATCATAACCTTTCCCCTGATACCTTACCAGGCATGCTTTATATGCAAGATCACGGTTATATAAAAATGAAGGCACTCCCCAAAGTATAGCCTGTCACAGCCATGTTTCAAAATCTGGAGTTTCAGGTGTTGCTTTATAACCTGGTGGCCAAGATCAATCTATAGCCGCGATTCTCCTAGTCTCCATCCCTTGCCCAAAGGGAAGCAGCGCTGGGCCCTTACAAATGCTGCCGGTAACAATGAAAGTAATGGTAGGAGTAACATACTATCTATTATAATGATGATTTTCTCTCAAAAATATGATCTGACATGTCTGCGCTTTCCTCTTTGCCCAAAGGTGAACTGTTCAGGGACAGTGTCTTAGCATTCCCTGTAGCTGAGTTTGGATTGTCGGAGTGAGCAGGAAGGAGGATGAAAGGTTCTCCTCACTTATTAAGAACATTCTTTACATCTATTATTGTGTTTAGATAGATTAAAAGCAGCTTTTGTCCAAGTCTCAGATTCAGTGTGTACATATGCTTCTAAGAAGTTTGTGTGCTGGAGAAATAGAGGCCCTCACTGACTGACATTAGCTTACTATGCCGTTTCCCTTACGCATTTAGGCCAACAGGAGGAAAAGTTGTCACTCATTTAGGGGGTCTCACAGTTGTGGGTTTCAAGTACAGATGCCTGGGGCTCGATTTCAAAAGGGGCCAAGCACCCTCGGCTACAACAGAAGTCAGTAGGGGCTCTGGGACAGTTTGCTATGACACAAGCACCTCAGCTGCTTCTGCCAGGGATAGGAGCTAACCAGCCTCATCCCAATTACACAGGAAGTCAATGGAAACAAATAACTTTCTTGTTTTTTTTCCCTAAAGAATTTACCAGCGAAATGATCTGTGGTGAGTATCTCAAGTTCTCTCTCTTGGGGAATCTCTTGCATTATATTGGCAGCTCTCATAATGGGAATTGAGACTGGAGCCATTTGAGTTAAAGGAGGCACCCTTAGTATATATCATGGTACAACCTCAGTGAAAGGAAAAAAGTGCCCCCCTCTCTTGCTGCTCCCCACCAGCCCTGACACAGAAGGGTCCCTCACCGAGCAGCCTCTGCAAATGGCATGAAACTATTTGTTTCAGCTGCTGCCTTTAGTCCATGCCAAGGAGTAACAACTAGCGAGCAGAAACAAAGCTTTACCTTTTTTCCTGCTTCTCTGGTAGTTAGAGAGGGGATGGGTGAGTGCCAGGCTCAAATTCATGTTAATAAGAGAGAACACCACTAGCACAATTCATAGGTTTATACATTTTAAGGCCAGAAGGGACCATTCCATTCAGCTAGTCTGACCTCCTGCATAATACAGTCCAGGGAATTTCATCCAGTCATTCCTGCAACAAGCCCATGATTTCTAGGTGAGCTTTGGGCACACCTTAAAGAAAAATATCCTGTGTAGAGTCCTCACCAGCGCCTACATGTTTTAAGACTCTAAGTTGCATTTTCAAAAGTGAGGTTCACTTCGGCACTTCATATCCCCGGACTTTCAACAGGACTCAGGCTCCTAAGTGCCTACGTCAATTTTGAATGTGGGACTTGGATTTGGACTCCTAAGTCACTTATCAAAGGGGTAGCCGTGTTAGTCTGGATCTGTAAAAGCAGCAAAGAGTCCTGTGGCACCTTATAGACTAACAGACGTTTTGGAGCATGGGCTTTCGTGGGCGAATGCCCACTTCTTTGGATGCATGTCACTTAGTTGCTCATGCAAATTTTATGCCAAGACTTGATTGACAGACTTCAAGTGATGGAGAATCCACCTTGTCCCTTGGTAACTTTCCCGTTTGACGGTTGTGTTCATGTAAAAGGGAATGTCTCCAGTTCACCTGTTCCTAGTTAAGTGCCTCCCAGTGGGTCCTGATAGAGGACTCCTGGCCTCGAAAAAGACTCAGGCAGCAGTTGACAAAGGAGTCAGGTTGGAGAAGCAGGGAGCTGTTAAGAATTGCTAGGAGAGAACTGTCTGAGATCTGAGAAGGCAGCAGTGGAAGATGTTGGGGAAGAGACCTGTGCAGAGAGAGAACTTCCGAGAGCTGTTAGCATAGTGCTGTGGATGGCAGCCATTGGAGAGAACTGGCCAGAGCAGGGAAACCCTGCTGAACGGAAGGTGTGTGCGGAGGTCCCTAGGTAAAGGGGACAAACTA